AGAAAAAAAAAAAAAAAAAAAAAAAAAAAAAAAAAAACGAAAAAAGAGCTACGCCTGGACAAAATCAGATATATCATTATTATTATTATTATCATTATACGTATTATTATTAGTAATCGAAGTCATATTAGTCTTGGCGTTTAGCACATTAGCATTAGCATTAGTCTTAGTATTAGTATTAGTATTAGTATTAATATTAGTATTAGTATTAGTATTAGTATTAGTATTAATATTAGTATTAGTATTGGCGTATTAGTATAAACATTAAATATTCGTATTATTATTGATAGTAGTGTTGATATTAATATTAGTATTAATCCAGTATCAATATTAGTATCAATAACATTATTAATTTAGTATCAGTATTAGTTATTAGTATCAGTATCACTATGAGTTAGTATCAATATCAATAACAACACCAGTATGAGTATGAGTATCAATATCAATATTTGTATGAGTATTGGTATTAGTATTAATAATAGTATTAGTATGAGTATTAGTATCAGTATCAATATCAATATCAGTATTCTTATTATTATTATTATTATCATTATTAGTATTCGAATTCATATTTGTCTTGGTGTATTAGCATTAACATTAGCATTAACATTAGTCTTAATATTAGTATTAGTATTAGTGGTATTATTATTAATATTAGTGCTGATTTTTTTTATTTTTTTTTTTTGAGTAAATTCAAGTCCATTACAGGGGGGAGTAGGGGAGGGGGGACTCGAACGCTAGACCTTTACCCTATTGGTAAATACTAGGTACCAACTCTCCTAATGAGTGTTGGTTAATAGTAGTGTTGATATTAATGTTAGTATTAGACTATTAGTATTAATCATCGTATCAATATTAGGATTAATATTAATATTTGTATTATTAGTGTTGATTTTAGTATTAATATTAGTATTGGTATTAGTATTATCAATGTTGGTTTTAGTATTAGTAGTAGTAGTATTATCAATGTTGGTTTTAGTATTAGTGTCAATATTAGGGTGGCATGGGCAATTGTACGCCGCAATGTCCAGAGTTAAAAGTAGATTTCAGATAAAGATATTTATCAATTCAGAATCGGGCGATATAACTAACTTTACGATCAATGTTGCGTTCACAAAAAGATTTTCAGCGAATATGAAGGTAAATTACAAACAAATGTATATTTTGATTCAATAAAACATTTTTTTTTTGATATTATTTAAATGTATGTCAATTGTTCAAAGTTTTCGTTCGTTTTATTTATCCAAAATAATTTAAAAAAAAAAAATTGATCCCGTGCATCGCACGGGTGAATTACTAGTTAAATATTAAAATATCATAAATGATTCATGTAAAGATAGTATTCGTGTAAAATATATTAATAATATATTTTCAATAAAATTTGATTAATCTATGTGTCAAATGTCGTGTGAATATTTTTAACATATTTATTTACATTTTATATCAATAACATTTAAAAAAAAAAGAAGTAAGAAATCTCAATTTGTATAGATGATTGAATAAACGACATTCTCTGAGACAACTGTTTCTCTCTTACAAATCATAATCACAAGTTCTTGAAGTATCCTCCTTCCACAAACGATCCATTTCCACAACCACGACAAACACCTTGTGCTGATAACGTGTTGTATGATGGTTTATTAACTTCTATTGGCTCTTTGTTAATTATTGTGGAGCAAAACAATATACAATTATATATATAGGTGAAATGAAGAATGCAAAATAAAAGACACAAATATTGATGCACAACATAGGTTAAAAAAGAAATAACCATAAAGTATTTATACCAATCATAATTTATATTGACAACTAAAGTAGTAAACACATATTATATGAAGACCATAACGACACTAGTTGTTAGCAATGATACATCAATTGAACATGCCATTGTTTATTCCCACCTTCCATGTTATTAGTCATTCACAATAACATAAGGTAATTTACCAGAACAGCTTGAAGTAATGTCTAATTACGAAAATATGCTCATTGTTTGTGTAATTACAAAAAGATCCCCTTTGACTTGAGCTTGAAAGTGTATTTTAACATAAATTGTGTTTTATCTATTTTACCCTCGGTAATCTAAACTAAAAATAAGTATATCAAAACCTTACAATGAAACCCCTTATGAATATTAATCAATACTGTTAACCCCTCAAAGATTAACAATAACGCTATCCTATGATTATGGGTAGGGGTGGGAAGAAGATGAAAAATCTTTCTTCTTTTTTCTCAATTGTAAATTTATAATTTATACATTTTTTTTTTCAAAATCAATTTATTGTATAAAATAATATAAAAATGTAAAGGAAATAAAAATATACTTTTAATGTTATAATATATGTCTAATTATTTATCATATAATGTTTAATTTTAATAAATTATAAAATTTATAAAATGACTAATACATAATATTTATAAAATAAAAAACCACTATATTATTAAATTTCGTAATTTTTTTTGGTGTTTTTAAATACTCCATCCATTCATAAATAAGTGTCTTTTTTCACTTTTCACAAAGATTAAAAAATTCAATAAATGTAGCTTGATTTTAGGAAAATCGAATAAAAATGATTAAAACAGCCTTTAACAATTAATGATTTATAAGGGAGAATTAATGTTTAGAGATATATTAATAAGGTTAAAACAGAAAAAATGCATTTAATACAACATTGAAAATCTAAAGTGACAAATAATATGGAACAAAAATATTTAAAAAAAAAAGACAGTTATTATAGAACAGGAGTATATTACAATTTACATGCTAAGTGAATATGTTTACAATGATCTCTGAGGGTAATATTAGTATTAGAGGAATATTTCACAACTCAAAAAAGATTCCGTCAAGATTAATGCATGCAAGACGCTCGTAAAATTAAATTTCTTGTAATTACACAAACATAAGGGAATTTTCGTAATTAAATTTTACCTTATGGGTTTTATTGTAATTTTACCGTCACATAATAATCAAAGAAAAGCCAAAAGGAACTCGTTCAACTCACTTTCCTTTAAGTAATAATAAAGCTAATGATGTCGGCACATCCATCAATAGAGATTTAAAACAAAAAAAACAGGAGAGAGAAATTCTAGAGAGAGAGATAGAGAGATGATGATAATGAAGAAGCCATTGTTTCTTGCTCTGATAATCAGTTTCTTCTTCTTCTTCTTCATCTCAAATGTCGATTCACAATCACCAGCACCAGATTCATGCAGCTCCGATCCTCTCACACTCCAAACCCCCCTCCCCTTCAACACATCTGCTCTCCACTGTGTCTCGGTTTGGGCTCCTCAAGGCTTCATCCTCAGAGTAACTTTCTCTCTCTTCCCCATTTTCCCTCTTTCTCTCTCACACACACACACACATAAACACACACAAATACACACACACTGGCAATTTTTAATTACTAATTAATACTTTATTCTCCTTGCACGCGCGCAGTACGCGCAAGCTGAGTCGAATTTGTGGAATTTCGTGCTCTCGGCGCCGAACACGAACGCGTACATCGCGATAGGGTTTTCGCCGGACGGGAACATGGTCGGATCCAGAGCCGTGGTCGGATGGGTGGCCGGCGACGGAACAACATACATAAGAAAGTACCATTTAGGAGGGCAATCGCCGAACCAAGTCGTAATCGAACCGTCTGCAAAAGTAGAATTGCGGATTGGGAATATGACGTCGGTGGTTCTCCAATCGAATCGAATCTACATGGCTTTTCAGGTGATCAGCGATACTACTCCGACCGCGCGCCTGCTTTACGCCGTCGGACCGGCGGGGCGGCTGCCGTCCGGCACCAACCTTCAACTCTCCGAGCACGATAACAGGGTCTCGACGACCATCAATTACGCCACAGGTCAGTGCCAAAACGCCTTTTTATTTTTTTATTTTTTTTTATTCGAGTGATTGAAATTTGCATTTTCAATGATTTTTTACCAAGTTTAGTTTAGTATTCTTTTCTCGGGGGCAAACTACGGCTGGCCAATTCAAATTATGAAAAAACCCCTCATGTTTGAATAATTACAATCACATCCTCAATTATGTATCGCCTTACACGATCATTCTTACTGTCTCAAATTTACCTATTGAATGAAGTTTTTTTTCGTAAACAATATATTGTTGTGGGGTTGTTGTAATTATCAAAACATGAGGGGATTTTTCGTAATTTGAGCTTCCCTCAGGAAATTGACCGTAATTTGCCCTTAAAAAACGATTATGATATTTTGAAAAGAAAAGTATTTATTATTTCGATAGCTAAAAAATCCGTATGTTATTAATATTAGCAAAAATATATTTTTAATGCATTGTTTACTAGTAAACTGTTTACATAAATGGTTTGTTTAGTTTTTTGTTAATAAATGTATTACATAATTTTTTATTTTCTTACAATTAGAATAAATGTAGGGGGCGTGTTGAACACACGATTTATTTATTTATTATGTGAAAATATCTTATGAAGAGGTACATACACGTAATTTTGCAAACAAGAGGGGGATTTTGTTAATATAGGCGTACATGAGGATTTTCTGTAAATTCTATTTTAGAATTGATTTCGTTCATTTTTTATGTCCATTTATTTTAGACATGGTCTAGCATATATTCGCACGACTGTGGTAATAGTTTTGTAGATGTTATACCTAGTGAAATACAGCAGTTGATCATGCACCATTGATCTGCACATAAATAACTCACATCCACATGTACGTGTGCTTAGTGAGTAGGTATTTGTATAAATCGACGGTGCGGGAGGGGAGACTCGAACCCTAGACCTTTACCCTATCGGTAAGGCTAGGTAACAACTCTCTTAACGAGGGCGAGGGTTGGTGAAAAATGTAATAAATAACTAATTAAATATATTGGTAGAAAGAGTATACATACGCGTTTAATCAAACTAAAGAATATGTATTTCCCAAGTATGGGTGCAATGCACCAAGTCCACTATAGCTTTTTTGCCAAAGCCGGCTAACAAATATTTAAGTATGAAGCAACAAATTTGACTTCGAAGACAAGTTTCAATAATTAATTGGAATATTAGTTTTATAATATGTGCTAGTTGCTTTATAATAGATTTTTTTTTATCTTTATTCAAGAATTAATATTATTATATGTAGATTAAATTTATTTTTTGCTATTTACAAGTCTTTTTTTAATATGTATAAATTGAAATATCATCATTCATGAGCTGTGGCTAGTTAGGTGGGACTAGTCAATTAAGGTGTGATTATCTATTTAGTTCGTGGCAATTTTCAAATACATGGGAAAATGAATTTTTAATATTTTTTTAAGGAATATCCAGTATTTTTTAAATATATATCTCAATAATCATCAAAGTTCTTTAATACAAATAATATTTACTAAACTATTATTACCAGGCTGTTATGGTAATGAGTCACATGGTACGATCATATAAAATAGCACGTGGCCAACTATATTTGTTTTTATAGTCAACTAATAGTTTGGGAAGACCATTTCAGTCAACTAATAGATAAACTTACAAATATTCCCCTAAAATTGTTTGCTGCTATTACTAGTTATTACCAACCATGACAATTCTTTATTTATTTGTTACTTTTCTATTCGATTTAATATTTTGTTTTTGTTATGCATTTCACTTTAATTTGAATTTTGTTTCCAAATGAAAATTGATCATTAAATTTACTTATTGCTTATTGCATCATATTGTTTTTGTTTTTCGGTCAAGTTCATCTTTGATCCACAAAAGAATGATACATACAAAGTTAATTCATAACACTTCCATATATAGTGGTGCATTTATTTTAATCACAAAGATTCAAGGGTAATTAAATGATACACCTGACTATTTACACCGGGTTGATTTGAACCGTAGATCTAACCATAATTACACACACCCATGCGTATGTGTGTTCAGAAGGTGGTTATTGAAATTCACCTGTTATAGATAATAATCAGGTATAGATAATCAGGTGTAACATCTAACTCCCCCGTATTCAAGCCCTTCTACATGTTCAACACTGAGGTTTGAAGTTATGCCACTAGTGAACATATCTAATAACTTGTTTGTATATACCAATCCACGTGGTTTATGTTGATCATTTATATATTTAGGTTTCGTTTGGTTAGTAAGATTAACTATGATTAATTATATAGTTGTACTTTATCGGATGTTTGATTCGTCCAATTACGACACTTCAGTGTGGCCCACAATTGTAGTAAAAATAGCTCTAATCTTGGCTAAGAGATTATTTATCGAACCTCCAATCGTCCAACAATACAACTGAGTTCTCATAAGATTATATATTGCAATGTATAATGTTAAGAAGAAAAGAAACGTAGCAACTAATATCTTTTTATTGTTGTACGTAAACAGGTGTATTTGAAAATAATAAGCATAAGCCCGTGACAAGTCTTCGGAAGGCCCACGGGATTTTGAACATGTTTGGCTGGGCCATCTTATTGTCAATCGGGGCAATGGTGGCCCGATACATGAGGAAGTGGGACCCACTTTGGTTCTATTGTCATGCATCGATTCAAACTCTAGGGTTCCTTTTGGGTCTCATTGGTATTATTTGCGGTTTGGTCCTCGAAAAGCGGCTCACGGGGGCCTCCGTGGGTAAGCACAAAGGCCTCGGTATCACCGTTCTCGTACTCGGCTGTCTCCAGGTTAGTTTTCTTTAATAAATTATAATTAATGTGTTTTTTCGGGACTAAACTTGAGCATATGATTTAGTTCGTAAGATAGGATTAACATCGTTTAGTTTGTGAGATATGATTACACAGGATAAGATAAGATCATACAGTATCACATTATTTTAACAGAAATGTAACCTCAAATTATAAGTCCAGTTAAAAATTTAGTCCTTTTAACTTGTTTTATTTCAATAAACATGTAATAATCTTATAATTTTAGCATTTATAGTCCTGTTTTACTATATTATTTTTTTTAGCATTACTGATATGACAAATAAACTACTTATATAAGACACTTAAAATTCGTATTCTAACTCGACTTTGATAAACTTTTAATTTTTAGAGCAAATTACGGCCAGCCACCCTTGGGATAAGTTCAAATTACAAAAAAAAAAAATCAGTTATGTTTGGATAATTACAACTATCCCACTCAACTATGTATTGTCGTACGAAAAAACCTTATTCAGTAGGTAAATTTGACACCGTAATAGTAGTCGTATAGGACAATATAAAGTTAAGGGGGTGACTGTAATTATCCAAACATGATGGGGTTTTTCATATTTTGAGCATATCTCAGTGGGTGGCCGTAATTTGCCGTAATTATTAGTATCAAGTTAAGGACAATTCTTTTGAGTGTTTATGGTAGAAAATTTTGGCAATTTTGTTTGGCATATGAATAGTGAATGAGTAAAAACAGAAAATTGCAAAAATAACCTTGAATTTACAGGTAATGGCAGTATTGGCTCGACCAGACAAAGAAGCTAAATTAAGAAAATATTGGAATTGGTACCATTTTGGAGTGGGAAGGCTATTGATATTTTTGGCTGCGATAAATGTGTTTTATGGGATCCATTTAGGGAAAGCCGGGTCGGGTTGGAATGCGGGTTTTGCTGCTTTCCTTATCATTGTCTTCATTCTTACAGTTATTTTCGAACTTAAAATCTGCTTCAAAAAATAATTTTCTTTTTTTTCTTTCACTGTTTTATTGGGATTTTTCTTCTCTTTGCAATCTTCCTTTTTTTTTTTTTCTGTGTTTGCCATTTTTTTGTTGGGGTTTTTCTACACGTGTATACATTGATTTGATAGTGTACAACATTATTTAATTTGATACGATTAAAGAATATATTTTGTTTTCTTGTTTATTTATTTTATTTTATTTTACTTTTTTTTTTCTTTTTTTTTTTGTAAAAGACGAGCAATTAGAGATGGAATTATTCGATGATATCATATTCGAAAAAATCTTTCATCAATGTTTGGAAAACCGTGAAATTCACTTTGTTGAGGATTATTCAAGGAGTGCAATCACTCGAACATACTTCATTTGTTTTAAAATAAGTGTCGTTTAATATTTATATATACATATATATTGAAAAAAAATAGTAAAATAATATAACTGGATCTTAGAAAAAAAATATACAACACAAACTACAATAATGTTTGCAGTTAAATGAGGTGATAAGACTGCAAACATATATTTTATACATTTCATTTTGAGTTCTAAAATAATAGATAATATTTAACAAAAATAAATGTCTCTAAATCAACTGATAATTTTAAACTTTATATAATATTTAACAAAATTACTTTTAAACAAATGTAATGCAAAAAACATATATATTAAATATAAATACATATATCATTAAAAAGAAAGAAAAGAAATATGCAACCATAATACGATCAAAGAAGTCATTGCTTTTACTTCTTTCTTCTGAGGTATATTAGAGTAATTGTCGATATATTATTTTACTCGTCAAAAGTAATATCGTAGGGGGCCTATGTAAGACAACAACATACCTTAGGGGGATTTTCATATGAGAGGAATTTTCGTAATCAAGCAAACATGGGAGGGATTTTTGTAATTAGACATTACTTCATGAGGTTTCTCATAATTTACCATTTATTATTTTTCAAATAAAAGAAGGGTCAAACAAACAAATACAATTTTCGTAAATTTAAACGGTCAAACACTGGTTAGAAGAGGATTTTTGTAGCTACACAAACACTAGGAGGATTTTTGTAATTAAGCTTTATCGTAGAAGTATTTTTTTCGTAATTTGGTCTTAATTAATTTATGCATGTATTTTGTGATTCAGTGAGTGTGTTGGGTCTTTTCATGGTTACTGAAGCAGGTTAAAGTAGGGGATGCCTTTCCGTGCACTCTTGTTTGTTGGCCTTATATTCTCGTAACCATTTTCATGTTGCGCTCTATATATTGCGGGTTTGTTTGATGTTATACCCGGTCAAATACATTGGGTGATTATTAACTGTTGATCTGCACACTATCAACAAACACACCCATATGTATATGTGCTTAGTGGAAACTTATTTCACCACATCAACGGTTAATATTTACCCGGTGTATTACACCAGGTGTAGTATCTCAAATATCATATACCGGGGCTTTTACTAGTGTTAATTAATATATGATTAAAAGTCCATTATTATATAGTTATGTTTAGATTATGAGTTCTAGTTAGATTGTAACTAAACTTATATGCCAACGAGAGAATAAAACACAAATCAAATTAATCATGATATTTTTTCAAGTATTCTAACGATAAGAGATTCATAAATTATGATCTAATGCTAATGCTTAATAATCCAACTTAACTCTTAGTTTGGGCTTAAATAGTTATGCTCTGTCTTATTTTTAGTTTAGGCTGCCAGTTTTACCGTATTATTCTATTTTTGATAGATTTTTTTTTATCAGTTGATATTTTAGCTATTTTTCAGGTTGTAGTATTTTTTCTGAAACTATTTATGTACTCATTGATGTTTTATCCACATACAAGTTGATGTTCAGCCTCACCCTTATCGAGGGTCGTTCTTTAAAAAGAAAAAAAACTTAACTCTTAGTCAGTAACATTAACCTCTCATGACATAGCTTCAAATGGTCCAATAAACCTATTAAGGCCTAGCTAACGAGTTCATACAGACCCAACTGGATCTACAAATGTATTTTCGGTTCGGTCAACTTGAAACTCGTGTACAACCTCTTGTATTCATTCATGGTCAACTCTTTACTCGACTTTTGAGCTACCTATATCACCTCAAAATAAATTGAACTCAAATTTAAACATCAAACAAACCCTAGTTAATAATAGTATTGGTTTCACTCATATGTACTCTAGCAATGGTGGTGGCTCCCTCTTCTCATGATTTGAAAATGTGCTATTTCCCACCTCTTTACTCTTTTATAGAATCTTGTAATATGGCGGGCCAAAATTTAAAAGGGTCTTCGACTACTATCAAAGTACACCTCTTTCACACGCATTTGAAACGTTTCGTTTAATTGATTTACGATTGTAAATAAAATTTAAAATTACGAATTTAGAGTTAGTAATGTTAAAAATATAATTTTACACAGAAAAATAAAATTCACTACACAGGGAAAAGGCGGAGGAGACTTCCTCCTCCCCTCCCCTCTCACACACTAGAGTATTGGAGATGCCCTAAGAACATTTATTTATTAATTATTACTATAACTTAGATATTCGAGTTTCGCTCGACTAATTTTTGGCAGTAAACCGTGTTTCCCTTTGAGCATGTATACTAGGTAAATCAAGATGTGGTGATAAAAAAACAACGTTAATAATTAATCAAAGTAAAACAAATGCCGTTTCTTTTTCACTTCAATACCACCAATATGAAAAATAGAAAATAAATAGGTAATGCCATTAATATCCTTAATAAAATCAATACCACACAAATTTTGTGTGTTGTATTAATTTTCATTAAGGGAAATAATATCATTAACTATTTATTATCTATTTATGTTTTATGTTGGTGGTATTGAAGTAAGAAAAAAATAGTATTTGTTTCAGCCGCTCCAATATGTTCTAACTTTTAAGACTTGATTGAGTTTATACTAGTTCTACTTTACCATTATGTCATGTGCCCACGAAGGTAAATTCATCATATTAAAGCTTTGATGCTTACATTGCATTAGGTGTGTGGAGGATTGTGGGGGTAGAAAGAGGGGTACAAAAGGGGTCCTCTTGGACCTTCTTTTGGTGTAAAAGGTTACACTCTAATTCCAATTCAATGTCATTTTTGTCCTCACCCTTTTTTGACTGCAACTCATAAAAAATTATTAGATGCTACACCTGATTATTTATATTGGATGTATTTGAACCGTAAATCTACGCATAATCACACACACATTCATGTGTATTTGTGCTTAGCGGGTCGTTATTTAATCAAATTTACGATTCAAATCCACCCAATGTAAATAATCAGGTGTAGCATCTCAAACTGCGCAAACCACATAGGTTAGTTTGGGTTTTGACTCTCACTAGCCATGTTAATTAATTACTCTATTCACACCATCATTCATTCCTTAGTTACATCAATCTATAGCTAGTAAAGTGATTCAAAAGTTGATCACCAAAAAACATATATATTTTTATTAGCAATATATCTACCTAGGGGATGACACTTATTAACTCATGCAATACATGTTTAATTTAAACTCTACTAAATAGTATATACTATATACTAGCCCAGGGGGGAAAAGAACTTGTTTTACAATTCACACCAACAAAACTACAATTCTCGGGTCATCAACAAACATTTGGCCCGAATCCAACATACCCATTTGCCCCATCAAATGATATTTGGATACCTTCTTGCTGAATGTTCCCTATTATTGAAAGATCCGAAGGCGACGGAGCGAACGCAAAGCAAAACGTACCCCTCTCGTCCACCGGAATTAGAAAGTTCCTCGCCGGGAGGGTCAGGATCGGCCCGCCCGACAGGAAGAACGACACCGTCGGCACCCTAACCGTCACGAACCCGTTCAGATCGTAACACGTGTCGAATATCGAAACCCCCGCGGCCCGCGGCAGGTTGGCAGTCTCCGCCATGAAGGTGTCGCGGAACGCCACGTAAGCCGCCGCGGGCAAACGCGTCACCGCCGTGCCGGTGTCCATCACCACCCCGCCGCCACCCAGTTCGGTCAGCCGGAAAGTGGTTTCCGATATCGGAACCCTAGTTCCTCCGACGCCGAGGCCCGAGAGCCCCACGTAGTAGAAACTCGGGGCTCGCGGGTTCCGGAGCAGCGGGACCCACGCGGCCCCAGCGGGCAGTACTGCCCGTCCGAACTCCAGCGAGCCGTACGAGCTGGTGCCGCGGCTCACTAGGCAGTAGCTATACGCGCCGCCCGTCTGCCCGCCCAATTGGCCCACGAGAGACATGGACCCACCGCCGAGGCCCAACAACCCGGCGGCCCCGATGAACATGCCGCGGTTCATATGGCCGCATCCGATCGCCACGTTTTGGACCGTAGTGTGGCCGATTGTCAGCGTCTCCATGGCTAGGGTTCCCTTGGTGTACGACCCGTCTCCGTACGAGACCTCGTACTTGCACCGGCCAGCGTGGCAACCGGAGTTCTCGACCCGGTCGCAGACGGAGGAGCTGCAGGAGACTCCGGTGAAGGAGGCGGAATCGGCCGGGTCGAATACCGGGTCGGACTGGTGGTAGCACTGGCTGCAGGGCTGGCATTGTACCCACACAATATCGCTGCCGGAATCTATCACCATGTACTGGCTCCTCGCCGGGCTGCCAACGCCGATCCTCACGAAGTACTCGCCGCTGCCCTGGTCCATGCCGGAAACCACCTCCGACCCGAAATCCGCCACCTCGTAGGCGGCTGCGCCGCCGCCGCCGGAGAGGCGGCGGATCAGGCCGCCCACCCTCCTGGCGTCCCTCTTCATGCGGGACTCGAAACGGCGGCGGTGGTCGTGGTGCCATGAGAAGGCAAGCTTATCTCTGTGTACCAGGTGGAGCTTGGCGGCGGTGGAGTTGTGGTTGGTGGTGGGTTTTTGAGTTAGTTCACTGTCGACGGCGGCGTAGTGGTTGGTGTCGTGGGAAGAAGATTGAGGGGGGCGGAGGACGGTGGCGGCGATGGATTCTTTAATGTTGAGATGCTCGTAGGATGGGAATGGGATTGCGTGGCCGGAGGAGGTGGTGGTGACGGTGGAAGATACGGCGGGATGCGGCGGAGTAAGAAGGAGAAGGAGGAGAAATGATTTGAAAGCAACAAGAATAAGCATTATTGAAGTAATGGAGTGTAGTTGGTTTTTTTTTGAGAGGGATGAATTGGTTTTTTTGTGGGTGTGTGGGGGTTAGATTTATGTGCTTTGGGTTTTGGACTGTGAAGAGGGAAAAGTATGGGGGTGGGGGTGGGGGTGGGGGCACATAGAAAATAATGGAGTGATGGGGTAATAATTTTTTGGCTGCGGCTATATGCAAGACTAATTCCACTTGCGCAAGACCAAATTAAAATTTTCAATGTATAAATACTATAATACCCTTATTTATTAAAAAAATAAAAAATTCCAAATATGCAAGACAAAAAATTCAAAAACACAAAAAACCCTATCACAAGACCATAAAACCACAAGACCAACTATCATCTTCTCCATCTTCCAAAACTCACAAGACCTTTCTCCTTCCTCCTCCATTAACCCACAAAACCTAGAAATTCAAAATCATCAAAACTCAACAAATCTTACAAAGATGGCAAATATGGAGTTACAAGACATCAAAATAGAAGATTCTACGATGGAAGAACCCAAGAATGTATGCATGTATGGGTTTTTTTAGCTAGAATATCGATTTTCCAAAAAAATCCCGCGCAAACGAATTCGACATGTACAGGTCGAATTTTACAGGTAAAAATCGACATTTAGATGTCGATTTTGAGGTATAAAATTCGACATTTGAATTTGTGCTACAAATTCGACATGTCAATGTCGATTTTTACCTATGAAATTCGACGCTTAAGTGTCGATTTGTAGCATAGTTTTTCGACACCCTTGGTGTCGATTTTTGTTTTTTTCTCATTA